GGCAGGAGCTGGTCTGCAAATGAAGTCATTTTTTAAACTCACTCCCCTTGTGGACTGGCTCCCGCCTGCCACTCTGCGCTGCTGCCTTTGGGCGAGGGGGCCGGGAGTGCACTGGTTGCTAGCCCTGCCCCCAGTGACTGTCTAATAGTCGTGTAACCACTGAGATTTCTTGCGGTTACACAGCTATTCAATTACATGCTATCTAACATCCCTATCAGTAAACCGTCGAGCGGAATATACAGAAGCCTGGTTCCATTCCCAAGTCTTGGGAAGTCTAGTGACTGCATACAGTATTTTATCCACTATAGCAGTCTCGCAAAATGCTTCAGTCAGGGCAAGTAATTTATTGTTGGCTTCTAATATTTGAAAAACTATGGTAAAATGGCAGATAAGCAGATTTTATCCTTCTGGTGGTAAATTCCATGGCAGTTATGCAGGACTACGTAACTGGAGTAGACTCAGAAGTAATAAAGTCGTTTCTTTGGCTTCTTTCTGGATTTAATTTTATTTATGAAGCAAAATGCAGGACAATGTAGCACTTTAAAACTAACAAGATGGTTTATTAGATGATGAGCTTTCGTGGGCCAGACCCACTTCCTCAGATCAAATACATTTTGCTTCAACTACCCCAGACTAACACGGCTACATTTCTATCACTAATTTTATTTATGGTTTATTTCAGGAACACTCAGGAGTGAAGTAGATAACAAGAAACATCACTAACAAACCTCTTTGAGTTTTGAATGTAGAAGGAGGGAAATGGTTTTCTTGCTTCAGCCAGTATTAAATGGGGTCCTAACTATTCTGAAAATGGTATTAACAAGTCATGTATCCCATGCTGTGTACACTGGGTGTACACATTAGCAGTGTTTATTTGTTACATTTTTTTCTCATTGTTTTGCAGGAAAATGAATGCATGAGAATAAAAATTTTGGGCGACTGTTATTACTGTGTCTCAGGCCTACCTGTGTCCTTACCAGTTCATGCCCGGAACTGTGTGAAAATGGGACTTGACATATGTGAAGCTATAAAGTATGTACTGTGTGAAAAGGACTTCTTAACCTATAGGAAATCAGAGAATAAACAAGTGGGTTAAAAATGTAGGGCAGGGATTTTATTAAAGAAAAATTATGAAGCCATTGGGTAAGGTTATTCTTAGACTTTTGTGTGGACGGTCTAGAGTGCTTTCATTAACTATTATATCCCTCACACTATTTTGTTCTAAATATGTCAGGTCAGAATGACTCCAGCCTCTTTTCTATGAACCAAATATACCTATCGAGAGCAGAACATAATGAGTAGACTAAGCTTATATAGGAAAGAGATAAAATTGGAATAGAATAAAATGCTGATTGAAATTCTTTGAGGCCAATTTATTATTTTTAGTTGTATATGATTTATCATAAATCCATAAAACCAAAAACTGCAAAATCTGCTTGATTGTGTTCGTACATGGTGCAGCAAAGTGCATTAGAAGGATGTAATCCATAAAGAACTCTGACGTGCTCAAACTGAAGAAACTCCACTTAAAGGTGTCAGCAGGCTCTACGTAGGGGACAACACATCAGGATGCTTTGCAAATCACATTCCTCTAATGCACTTTGACAGTTCTGTGTAGACAAGCCCTATTTTTTTTTTGTTTCTTCACATTGAGAACATTCACCATACCTTTTATTATTTCTGTTGCTTAGCACACAAAGGGTACGTCTACACAGCAGGGCTAAAGTCTAGTTAAGCTACACAACTTCAGCTACATCAATTGCGTAGCTTAGATTGAAATAGCTTAACTCAGCCTTAGGAGTTGTCTACCCAGCAGGAAGTCAAAGGAAGAACACTTTTACTTCAACTTCCCTTACTCCTTGTGAAATGTGTTACCATGAGTTGGAATAAGAAGTCCTCCAGCTCGACATTATTTTGGAATAAAGGCTTGTAGTGAAGACGCATGTTTTGTTATTTCGGAATAACGTTAGTTATTCCAAAATAATGCTGCTGTATAGATGTACCCAAAGTGTACTGTGGAGGATTAGCAGGTAGTTTACCAGGCCTGGTTTTGCATTTTTTGCGTGCAGAAGGAATGCAGATTTGCATGCACAAGGAGTGCAGGGTCAAGTCTCAAGCAATAGTGCAAAGATCCATTACCACAATAATGTGAGATTCTGTAATGCTCTATTCTAAGGCTACATAGTGTGAATGGATTGACTGCCAGCACCTTCTCATGTTCAGGTTTACAATTTCAGGGGTTGAAGGTAATTAAACTATGTTGTTGCTAATATTACAGAGGACAAAGTCGGCTAGGACACTGAAGTTACTGCCAACTCTTTCAATTACTGCCTTGAGACCTTCACCTAAAACCTTTATTATCCACAGCACAAATAGAAAGGACATGTATTTAACAATACTTCACAAAATGTAAACTATAGCTGCATCCTATCATCCAAATAACACAAAATGGTTTAATTGTAAATTACATTGAAGTTCCTAGGATTTAATACTCTTATTGCATAGTTTAGCAGAGAACATACAATGGGATAGCCAAAGATCACTGCTTTAAAATCCCATCTTAAGTTCCTTTTGCTTTTCATTATGAAACTAAGCCTTGTGAATATTCTAATCTTAATTGCTGTTCTGAATCCTTGTGCTGTGAGCGGAGACTCAATCTGTTTGTCTACTTTTTATTTGGGAGACCAGACTTAACAGTATTTTCCGTGCAACAAAATTTAAAAAGCTTCACATGCACAAATTAGAGGAAGTCTCCATAAAGCCTTTGGTTACTTTTAATAAAACACATTTTTTTCCTACTGTGTTAGGCAATTCTGAGTTTCACATCTGTTTTCCAGTGAGTAGAGGAACTCAGACTATAATAAACAATGTATCTATCTGGGGAAGCTAGCTTATCTAATAATTTTTCTCCCCTCTTTTCTTTCCCCACCAAGACAAGTGAAAGAAGCTACTGGAGTGGATATCAGTATGAGAGTTGGTATCCATTCTGGGAATGTGCTTTGTGGTGTGATTGGAGTCCGGAAATGGCAATATGATGTGTGGTCTCATGATGTTTCCTTAGCTAATCGTATGGAATCCTCAGGAATACCTGGGTAAGAATATTTGTTTTAGGTACTGCGTCAGTTCCACAATGATCGTTTTTATTGTTTTCATTATTTCCCTATATTGTACCTTAAGAACTGACTCAATGGATGCATCTAGGGTTTAAAGCACCCATTGGCAGCCACACCTCCCTCTTCCCTCCCCTAAGCACCTCCTGCCCACCATGGATTAGCAGTTCAGCAGAGTGCAGGAGGCACTGGGAGGGATGGAAAGGAGTTGGGGAGGGGTGGAACTAGGCAGGAAGAGGCAGGGTGGGGGTGTGGCCTTGGACAAAGAGGTAGAGTGTGGTTGGGGCTTAGGACTGAATGGGGATTTTGCTCCCCAGAAACAATTCGAAGCCAGCCCCTGTGTATTTTGTTGAGCCTGGAATCCATCACGGTTCTGCTGCACTAAATTTAAGTAACGGAGACTTGAAATGCATAAAAACTGTCCACTTTAACTGTGAAAAGTATTTATGTCTTTTGATAATTTCTCACCGGAACTATAGGACTGTGATCTTATGTCAGTGAATGCTTCTCGTATAGCTCCTGAACTTGTGCATCGCAGAAACTGTATTTTATCATATGCTGACTGACTTGATTCAAGATGCATATAAAGATAAACCTGTATTTGTAAATGTAGATGAAAACACATACGCAGCTTCTGTAGGCCTTACAAGGCTACATATTTACTCAGTTTTTCTACTGATAACGAGGGCAGTGAAAATGTGTTTATTATGTAAATGTGGAACCGCTGACACTTTCAGTGGTTTTACATTTACACGGGTGGGAGGTGCGGCGCAGGAGCACTGGTTCCCAAATCCTGCTCTCCCCCCTGTGCTGCTGCCTCTGTGGGAGGAGCAGCGCAGGGCAGGGGAGAGCAGGAGGCTGTGCAGGAACCTGCATGTACCGGCCCCTTATGTACCGGCTCCCACCTGCCCCTTCTCCCTATGTTGCTGCTTTTGATACACAGGCAGCAGCATGGGGTGGGAGTGGAGAAGTTGCGTGTAACTGTGAGGATTAATGGATGAGCCCAAGCTAGGAAGACTGAATACAGCCAGGACATCAGAAGAGGCATTTTTAGTTAGTTTTAGGACCACAACCACATTATAAATCTTCGATTGCTCTGTTCCCTTCTACATGCTTATACTTAATTTGCTATTTAAATTGACTCATTTAGGTTTGGCATGCTGGTGCTAATACTGTACTTCTCACATGTATCTGGCACTGAGTTGTCCAGCTTTAAAAGTTATACTGCTCGACTGAAGGATGCATTTTGCATCACAGAGGTTATGGGCCTGGCATCACAGGGAGGCTGCTTGCGAGACAACGCCTGTGAAAAAAAATACAGAGTGGGTGAGATTTCCACGTGACCACACTAAGCTTGCTGTCACTGAAGACAGTGGAAGTTGTATTTCACTGGAAGAAGCTAGACTGGCACTAGCACTTTATAAAACCTCACACATAATGGAACTATATATCAAACTGACTTTGTTAGTCTATTTTAGTGTTGGGCATGGTGGGATTTTTTATTTTGCTATTTGATTTTTGTCTCGCTACAGTGTAATAGCCATTGTAAATGATCTGATGGCATAATTTGATGATTAGTTCACTGATGAAATTTTTATTTACCATCCTCAATATTCAGAATCCCTGTACAAATACTCCCAAAAAAGACTTTATTGACATGCACCCAAAGAGCCATTTTCCTATGGAAACGTGAGCTTCTGACCTAGCACAGTTATTTGAACCATAGTAATGTGGCTTCACTTCTTTTTGTGGTTCTGAACAATTTTTTAAAAGCATTTGATGTTGCTGAGCTAAATGTTGATGACCATTTCAGCCTGTATTTGAAAGATCGATCAGAAAGTGTTTTAGTGAAATCTCTGAACCATCACCCTTGATGTAATTTAGCTTATTAGAGTTTTTGTTCTTCTGAAGAACAGGATGATGTAAACAACATTCATTAGCTTAGGCGAAGCCTGCAATCCTTACCGCAAGTAGCCTTGTTGTCTTCAGTCCTGGGATAGCAGGGGATATGGCATATTTACTCTTTTGTGGCAATAACCAAAAATAGCATTGAGGCAGCAGTTGGCATGATATGCCTGTACCTTTTTTCAGTGAGACTCAAGTAATGTCCGTGAGCAAATAAAAGCTCCCTTAATCACTTCAGAAATTGTAGAAATATTTTCTTTCTTGTTTCTAAATATTTTTAAAAAACATTTTTATGACCAGCTCTTGTTATGACCTGATGATTATAATCTTTTATAAACAATAACTTATCCTTTATGATACTGACATTTACTCTACAATGCAAGTTTGAGTGAAGGAGAGAAGATATTTTTGCTTCTGACTCTGATGCATGCTGCATTAATTGCACAGGCCAGAGGCTCTCCAAGTGTGGTCCATGGTCCATTAGTGGTCTGGGACTCTCTTGCAGGCAGCCTGCACTGGCACGTCAGCCCGACATCTTCCTCATGAGGTTGGAGCGCTAGTGGGGGAAGGAGAGGGAGTAGCGGCTGGGGGAATGGCAATGCAGGAAACAGCTCACCTGGAGGCTTTCCCTGCTGCTCCCATTGGCTGAAATCACAGCCAATGGGAGCAGCAGGGGGTGGTGCTTGGGAGCAGCAGGAAGCGCAGAGCCAGGTAAGTGCCTCTCATCCTTCTCATGCCTAGAAACATTTTCACCTGCAGCAACTCCTTCCCACTGAGACTCCAGGATCCCCAGGCCACTCCTGCACCCAACCTCCTTCTTGGTCAGAGCTGCCTACTTCTGCATACTCCCTCCCAGCCAGACCTCCTGCACCCATTTTGTCATCATGGATGGCGGCTGGCCAGTGTTCCATGAAAAAATGCATTAAGCGGGGTAGGCCGTGGGCCCAAGAGTTTGAGACCCATTGGTATAGGCTTAAAAAAAACAATTGCTGCTGTTAATGATAATGTTCTGCTTAGGAAACTTTTGAATCAAGATGCTGTCTAGCAGACGTTGCATTTGAATGGTGCCAGTATGTTGGAAATCCCTAAGGAATTTGCTCCATGGGTGACAGTGTCTGAATAAACCCCAGTTAATTTTAGAGAGTTGTATTGCATTTTACAATTATTCCTGGACACAATCGCTATTTAGGGCATCTGATAAACTTTCATTTTAGAAAGTCCTCTTGGGCTGGTTAAAGCTGAGTTAAGAATTGCAACAAAATAGTCTCATAGCCCAGTTGCCAGTAAACCAAATAGAAACATTTCCAGTCAGTGTGAAGCTAAGGTGCAGCCCTCCTTAGGATTCAGCCCTTCCTGCTGCGAGGCATTCTCATATACTGATTCCCAGAGAGCTACCTTTCCTCCTGGGAAATCGGATTTGTCAGTGGTCTCAGAGGCTGCCTGATTTATCTTCCAGTGAGCACATTTGCAAGGAAAGGGAGTGGGGAGCTGCCATTAACTTATTTCTTGCCATATCAGATAAATCATGAGTATGCTCTCTCAAATTCCATTTTCAAGTCCAGTGACTGCCTTCTCTTTCCAGCTGTGTAGTTGTTTCATTGAGTAACCTTGGGCAGATAATTTAATCATTCTCTGCCTAAATAATCCATCTATAAAATAGAATGAATCTACAGCTAAAGAGACGTAGATAAGTGAAGGGATTGTTATTGTTATTTTATTATATTACACACTCATTTATTCAGAATTTCTTTTATTGAGCAGTTCTATACAAAGGGGTTGCATAAATACCTGATTCATTGTAATTACCTTGTGTAATCAGATAGTCAAGACAACTCATGTGTGAAAGAATGCAGGGGAATATTAGTATATCCTGTTAGGAGACCTACTCTGTTGCTTTCTTCAGAAAAAATATTGTTCAGAGTTGTCCGGCCTGCTGTTAAACTCTCTATCGATCTGTTCCAGCCTGCTTTGCTGTTATTCTCTCTACATGTCTAGCACTGGACTCATCCATCCACAGAGTCTCACTACTGTTTTCTGTGTGCATATTCTCTGAAGCTGCTGCCATCTGGAATAATCTTCCTGTGCCTATTTGCCTTGTCAGTCAACACGTCTTCATTGACAAATATTTCTTCTACCTTGCATGCACCTCTTAATGTCTCTATCCTTCTGCTGTTTACTTTCACGTTATAACTATTATTTTGTACTAGGAAGTACTAGGGGATACACATGGTATGAAAGACACAAGACAAATAAAGTTGCATTGTATAATGTGCTGTGAAGGATCACAAATAAGCAGTGCTCGTTGAACTGCTAGCAGGATCCTGGAGTTGTCTGCCAAAGCTTTTGAAAAGCACAAAAATGTCCATGGAGCCCATTGAAATGTAAATGAGTTGCTTGAACTGACCTTTCTGTAAATGTTTAGGCTTTTGTTCTTTTTCCCACTCTAGCCGGGTACACATCACTGAGGCAACGCTAAATCACCTAGGCAAAGCTTATGAAGTAGAAGAAGGGAATGGACACCTAAGAGACCCATACCTTAAATCAATGAACATCAAAACCTACTTGGTGATTGACCCAAGGGTATGTGTCTGTAACAAATATATATACACGTGTGTTTTAATTCAGGAATATAATTAAAGTGTGTGAGCGGGCAGGGAGGAGGGGAAGAACATATGTGTCATCTGTATGGTTTGAATGCAGGATCTCTGGATCTAAAAGCCTGTCCTCGTACTGCTTGAGATGAAGGTCCATAAGCTTACAGGCAGTAGCAGAATTATACATGTCTTACATAGTGCAGCCACGAGGGAGGGACCAAAACACATGCTTACATATTACTTGATGTATGTGTGTTGTGCAAACCAATATATGGAGAAAGGGTTCGCATAAAGCTAAACTATATCATAATCCTGAGTTTCAAAGGAAAAGCACTGCCATAAAGTCCTTCTCAGTAACAGCTAAAGCTCCTAAAGCAAATAATTTTGAAATTGATCTGCCCTTCTCTGAAGGAAAGCTCATTCTAAATAGCGTTCAGTGTAGGGCATGCTGGTAGCTTCACCATAGATGCCTTGGTAAAGACTCTTTTCTCAGTACAGAGTACAGCCAAATGGGGAACATTCATTTATGACTGCTGTCCGCAGAAAGGGATGTTTGTGGGTGATGGCCATACATGCGTACTTGTTAACTACTAAGACTCTGTGCCCAAGAGAGATCTTCTGTCTTTTCTAAAGGCTTCCTCAATCCTCCTCTTGTGCCAGAAATGGAAAATACATCCACCTCTACAAGTGTTCTCTAGTGTGATTAATCTCTGAAGCAGTGCCAGACTGGGGCTTATTCACCATCGGCCCTTCCTCAACAGTTCACTTTATTCACTGTCCATCATGATTACCCCATATCAGGCTGCAGTGTCAGCATTACAAACAAGGCCAAGGAATCATCTAATTATTTTCTCCATGTTTCGTGATTTTATCTGGCTGTGTGTAAACTAGCCACCTGGGTATGTAACAGTTCTGAGTGTTTTAGAATGAAAACCAAATAAAGCAGCAAAAAAAGAGACTCGGGGGGCACCTCCTGAAATATCATCTGAGCTGGGACGCTGCTGTGTCACATCCAGAGCTTAGCTTGTGAAGTTCATTGCAATGGAGTCCAGCAGTTCCTGTACTTTATTGGGTTCTCCGAGCATGGATTATGTGCCCTTGCAGCCAATCCTGAGCTGCCTTGGATATGCTAGTTTAACTGGGGCTGGATCAACACTACAGATAGAAAAGGCATCCAGGGTAACAGTTTGTGTGTGTGTGAGTGAACATTTGACATTCTGCTTATGGAAGGAATATACCTAGACATCAGCTTCTCTACATTTCCTTGTACACAGACCTTGTTGACTGGTACCACTGATCCTTCTTTGTTTATGAGGACTCCTGCCCTAGGAAACATGAAATGTTTGTTCTTGTTGAAACTCGGCTCTAACTGTTCTTATGTTCCCCCATAGAAGTGCCATGCCTCAGGTAGACTCTGAAAAAGAGTGGGTTGTCTGCTGTGTTGTTTTGATTAGGCTTTCTATCTAGGATGCTTTATATAACTCACTCATATCTGTATTCTGGGACAGTAGCTCTGGAAGCCAGTCTTCGAATGCTGAACATACTGAGGTACCGCAGTAGCTATTAAATGCCCATTTAACAAATAGAATTTAGAAAAATGAAAAGCAAGACGAGAGCATACAGACACTTAGCGCATCCGTCAGAAACGCTAAACCTGATAGCAGCCACCTTCTTTTTTTATCCTTACTCCCCCTCCCATCCCCTGATCCCAAGCTGTTTGTTTTTAGGTGCCTCTGTTCTGATTACTTTTCCTCTTTTCTGTCCCTCATTTTTCCAACCCAGCTGAAATTTTTATGCACCCTGGGCTAAGGTTACCAACTGGTACATCTCATGGTTAAGCTGAGTACCTTGAGAGCAAGAAATGTATGCTGGTGAGTGAAGCAGCTGCCGAAGTCTCCAGACAGGTCTCATAAGCTATTACTGTGGCAAGCTGCATTAGGCATTACTGCATGAGCAGGGAGAGAATGGAGGCCCCTTGAAGGAGCTACATGATACAGCAGAAGTGTGTTTGCAGTGTGTGGATCTGTTGGCACTTTCTCACCATGTAGTCTAGAAGTCCTACCAGCTGAATCTTTCAGCTTGGATCTTTTCCCCAGTCTCATGAGGTGACCTTTGCTTTGCAAGTATTGCCGATGCCATGCATAGAGATGAAGGGAGAGATCATTTGGGGAGTTTGCTCCCCTTTCTTATAGCAGTTCTTGTCTTTGAATTACTCAGGAATTTCCAGCTGTTCCTTTGCCAAGATGTACATTTCTTGTTCACAATTTTTCCTGTCAAAAAATGGCCACTCAACCAGGTGATAGTCCATTTAATTTTGTCTGGCTGACATGTCAGTTTGCCTTTTGTCTCTGAGAAACTGATTAACCCTGCTTTTTTTTGAACTGGGAACATATCTCAGGAATGTTATACAGTGTAAATGCAACTATATATATATACACAATGTTGCCTATACATTTTACCAGGACAATAACGATCAGCAGATTATAAGTTTTCAAATGCTACCTCAGAAGGTATGCTTTGTACAAAATGCATTATAGTTTTGTAAAAAGGGTGAACATAGGGATATGGACTGTTACAGGCAGTTTTCAAATGTCTTTCTTTAGTGATACCACTAGAAATGGCTATTCAAACTCATTTAGCTGTTCTAAATTATGGACTGAATATTACAAAAACATGTAGGTGAATAGATTTTTACTGGCACATTATGTTATGTGTGTACTCATTATTGTGATGTGACACACCTCTTTTAAAATGGCCTTTCCACTCCTGGAGATGCCTAAATTGTGAGGCTATAACTATCCATCAGTGTGCTAAGGTCTGTTGCTTCTATTACCCAATATTCCTAGAGTTTCTTCTGTTTTTGCTTGCATAAAGGGGCATTAAGAGGCTTATATGTTCCTTTGCTGCACATCTGTGGCAGAAGGACCTGATCTCTGTTGAAATCCAGGACTGAGCTTTGTACTCTCTCCAGCTTCCTCCCAACCATTGTGTGGGGTTGTTCTTTGTCATTTACTCAAGACCTCATGATTATGGTCTTTGTCCTGCCTGCAACTTTCCTCTGACAGTGGGGAAATCCATTAATCTGTCTGCAAGGATCTGCAGTCTTTGGTGAAGATACACGTGGTCCAGAAAGCCAGGAGGTTGAATAAAAGCAGTTTTTCAAACATTGAATCTTCAGAGAGCAGCTAAGACAATTTAATTTATTATGATTTGCTTAAACTAGAGTTAACCAAGATGGGAGCTGGGGAATCAGGATAACATGCCATATTCCTGAAGAGCAAGGTCCTGCACAGTTGTGTGGCTCAAATGTACAAATGCAACAGAACCTCAGAGTGCAGTGTAATTTTATATGTAATTGTGTGTCTCTTACTTTTAGTCTAAACAGCGAACATCGAATAATCATCTCCCTAAGACACGAGTGAACGATGGGCTGAAGATGCGAGCCTCTGTCCGTATGACACGTTATTTGGAGTCCTGGGGAGCAGCCAGGCCCTTTGCCCATCTGAACCACAGAGAAAGTGTGAGCAGTGAATCGTCAACTCCAAGTAGGAAGCAAAGAAAGGTGATGGTTGGATTGGTACTTTTACTCCCTGTAGGGGTGTGTGTGTGTGTGAATGCTGTTCTGAAGTGACATAGTAACATTATTTTGAAATAACTAGTGTTATTTTGAAATAACTTAGTCCACGTCTACACGTCAGGCAGTTATTTCAAAATATTGTTGAAATACTGTCAAGCTAGAGGACTACTTCTATAGAAACTAAGCCACTCTGCAATGGACAGGGAAAGATGGAAGGGAATAGTGAGGGAGACAGAGGCACTAGACATCTTTGGGTGTTGAGCCCATGATTGTTGATGGTGATGATAATAGAGGACTTCTTACTCTGACTCCTGTAACCCTCATTGCACGAGGAGGAAAAGTGCTCTATTTCGAAATAAGTGCTGTGTAGATGCTTCCTATTTCAAAATAAGTACATAGTTGACACAGTTCAATTTGCGTAGCTTATTTCGAGTTAAGCCCTGCTGTGTAGATGTGCCCTCAGAGAACACCATTATGGCAACTGGGGACATCCAGTGCTATGCACACGCACAGTCGTAAACAGGAACATTGAGTTCAGGGATAGGATGCGGGACGGAAACACACACACATCAGTGATCAGTATAACTACACCATAAAATCAATAGAAATTAATAGGCTCATGCAGATAGCAGAGCACAGGATGAATGGAAAGTTAATCATGTAACTAGAGGATTCCTGCATCCTGTACCAGCTTCAGTTTCTGGATCTATTGAAGATGGTGCCCTGTCCGGAGGAGGCCACTAGGGCTTTTCCCAGTGAGAACCTTAATTAACTTGACAGTGCTAATGTGAAGAATAAAACAGGAATTCTTCTTCTTCTTTTCATACTCCTGGAATTTGGGAGAGGATCTTAAAGGTAGCCGTTTAGGCTCTGATTCCTCCAAGTAATTAAGACCATGATTAACTTTAGTTACATGTAAATGCTGTTGATGTCTAGCTTCATTTTAATTGATTGATTAAGTGCTTTGCTGAATGGAGGCCATGGTAGTGCACCTAGTGTAAGTAAATAAATCAACCATTAAACCCCTCTTACTGAGAGAGATGTTGTCTCAAGTGCATCAGTTATTGTCTGTCCTCTTTGGATCTTAACTTTCACCTGAAGACCCACTAGACCCAAAAGAGATCTCACTTTAATGCCTTATCTGAAAGATAGCATCTCTAACTCTTCCTCCTCCTCCTTTCCCCATCACTGATTACATAATACCAAGCTGTGGCATGGTGATTGAATCTTTGCTTTTCTGGCTCTGAAAAGGAAATGAAAGAGATGCATCTTGCTCTCAGCTAACCCATACTTACATGCTAATCAAATGTAATGCTCTACACAACACCTTTCCAGCACCTCTCTGCTTGACTAGTGGGGAACAAAGCTGCAGCGTGATTTATCAGTTCCTCCTACTTGTGCTGTATCACTGTGTCTAAGTAGCTTTCTCTTACCAGACATGCAAATATTTTTTACAGTTTATGAGCAGTAACTCATTCTCAAATCCTCTTGTTTAGGAGATACATTTGAATTCTACAGGTCGTCAAAAGACTTCAGATAGGTAAGTCCAGCACCATTATTATGTACTGTGTGATCCCATTATAGTGTGACATGCTGTAATTATGTGACTTTATTCAAACAAACAAAACACAAAGCTCTAGATTGGGAGGAGGTCCTGTTGTACAAAGAAGGAGTAAAACAGTACCTGTCCCAGAGAGCTTTCACTCTAGATCAGTTTCAGATGCACTGCACCTGCTTCTGTTTATCAGGAAGAGTATTGGGTCTTCATTCACTAATAACTTTGGTTTTCAGTTACAGAAATGTTTAATTAAGTCAAATGCAGTGGTCACATGAACCTGCAAATCCTAAAACTAGTTTTGAACTTTGCATGGCTTATTTGTTCCCTCCTGGTGTTCTGGTATGGCATAGTCATGCCAGAAACTTGTCAGTGACAGAATTTTTCCAGGCAGTCTCTCTTTGCTTCCTCTTTATTGTCATCCACAGTAGCAAGCTTTGGCCATTTCTTATACATTCTCTTATTAGGTGAAGGTGTTTTTCTTGGTTTCTAATTTCCATGGTACATCATCATTCCAAGATGAAGAGGTGTCAGAGACATTTAAAATTTCTCATGGGTATACAGGCCTCATATTCATCTAAAGTAGAACAATTTGTATAGTCCAGTTTTTAAATGTTGCATTTAATTGCAAGATGCTTCTTACCTGCGCTTTTGCTTTTTTAAGTTAGAGCCAACTCTTTCTGAATGATGGATGTTGCAGCTAATGTCTCATCAGAATAACCAGCCACACCAAATTTGGCCTGTCAGACTTCTCATGTAAACTTCTGTAAGAAGATTTTTCATCTGGACAGAAGGCTGCCTTCAAAATGATTTGTCTTGAATGATTAATTTGCTTGAGGTTAATCTGCTTAGAGCTGTTGTATTACATTCAATCTCTCTCTGTCTCTCTGTGTTAGTCTGCATGGATCTAGACAAGAAAAGTTATGTCCCTCTTCCCTTGTAAGCTATAAGTGAGTTCCTTCTTCCTCCCTATGCTTCTCTATTTGTTCTGTCACTTTGAGCCCCTGAGGGCCTAATATTTCCTCGCTGACTCCATCTTTGTTTTTGTAGGAAAGTGAGATGATGCTTGTGTGAGGGAGGGTAACCTCATATAAATGTATACTTTTGTGTGCCATTCCTTTTTGACTTTCATATTAGCAATAATTGAGAGTGTTCCCAATCATTTTAAAAAAGATTTGTTTAAATTTTTCAGAACTGACAAAGTAATTGTGTTTTTGCTTTGATAATTCTTGTTTTTGGTTTAGTCTGTCATAAAGTATGGGAATTACTTATATTTGTTTAAATAGTTTATTGGGTTTATAGTGGAGCTCATGTTGTTATTTTGATGTATTTTGAGGATACTTGTAATAGTTAAGTGTCTGGTAAAAATGCATGCTGTGCATGTATTCAGCAGCATGTTTCAGAAGTCTGAGCAACGAAATATCACATTCAAAGATGTAAATTGATTTCATGCTTAATAACTTGTGTCTCTCTTTATATATTTAGAAATATGTCTCAGAAGGGAAGGATGGAAGACGATACTTATGATGAAATGATGTCAACCATTGAGGGTCTCAATTCCATTATGTACATGCATTTTTAAATGTTTTTCTAGATTTTAAAAGCAACTTGCCTGTGTGCCTTTTTCCTTGTTTGCAACTTGAGTTCCTGTGTTAAAGCACAGCTTAATATAGTTCCATTGTGAAATTCTCAACCAGGTTATAGACAAATGTTCATTGTGAGAAAACAAGACATTTGACTGAAAATAGATAATGTCCAACACAGTTATTCAGTGCTGCATTTTATCAGTGTGAGCACGTTCCACATTTTAAGATTCTCCCAGCACTTTGTAATGTAATGGGCTGAATAAAAGTTATAGGATGTGTTGGAAGCTCAGAGGGTGAGGCAGTGGGGCACATGTAGGAAGAGATCAGGAGCACATGGATAACTGCTGGGAGCAGTTCACTGATGGTACTTGGATTATCAGTGCTAGTAGCAAGCCCAGCAGTTGGTACAGTATATCTGTAAAAAGCGGATGAGAGCTGTATTTTGTATCTTTTAAAATGAATTCTAGCATGGAAATTCATGCAAACATAGAATAATTTCAGTTGAGAGGGAGCTATCTATCACTTCCTACTGGACTGGCAAGGCTGGTGAAATTGCACTCACACAGTAGATAGCAGGTTTGCAGAGTGAAGGGAGAAGTGATCGGATATCTCCAGTCCATCTGTAACATCTCCAGTCCGTCTGTCACATTTATGACAGGGTACCCAGCCAGGAAGGTTTCAGATTGGATTCCTTTTGTACTGATTACTGTACTACCAAAATCAATAGCTGAAATGTAAAGGCTTTTGGAGGACTCCGCCAGCTGTTCAGAAAAGCATGATGCCATCGTAAACAAGCCTCTGGCTAAGTGAACCATGGAATCCAACATGACACACGTGATTTTTGCATTCTGTTACGTTTGTTGCATACATTTTGTGAAACATGTTTCTGTTTCAATGCAGACCATGGTGTAATAAATCAGATTACTTCTATAGAGGCTCGCTGTTTTTTGTAGAAAAAGGACTGGAAAAAGAGGTAAGAGAGAAAGCAATTTTTTGGGTTATCCTAAGTTTCAGATAAAAGACTGTGTCTACATGGGAGCTGGGAGCATGCTTCCCAGTCTAGGGAGACAGACATGCACTATCTCTGCTTGAGAACGTTAACAGTAGCAGTGTGGGCACTGTGATACAGCTGCTGTATAGCTTGTCCATCTGTGCCCATGCCTGAGACCCTCTGAGTCTGAGCTTGGGAGGCTAGTCTGAGCAGCCACCTGTGCTACATTGTTCACATGCGATGAAGAGTCCTGTGGCACCTGATAGACTAACAGATTTATTGGAGCATAAGCTTTCATGGGCAAAGACCCACTTTGTCAGATTCATTACGAAGGTGCCACAGGACTCCTCGTCGCTTTTGCAGATCCAGACTAATACGGCTTCCCCTCTGATACTTGACACCATTGTTCACCTGGGTATTTTTTTTATCACTTTTGTGTCTGTCTGCTGGGGGGTTCGCCCCCAGCTGCAGTGTAGACACACCTTCTCAGATACACGAAAGGACAGTTGAAATTGAAAGTATGTCCTTACAGTGACTGTTGATTCCTGAGGTGACTGCAGTACTAAATGCATTTTAAGCAATGTGATGTAATGCGGATGCCTTGGTTCACCTGGATTATTCCTTCCTTCTTGGTAACATTAATTATATGGACAAAAGGAACCTGTTAATAATCTAGGGTTAAACCTCAGTCCTTTGAAGTCAATAGATGTTTTGGCAGTGGGCCCAGCATTCATTTGAACATCTTTGTTATAAAAAAGCTATAAGAGGTATTTAAAATGTGCCTTACATATGTTGTAGCAAAAAGGACTCTGCTTTTTAACATCATTTCATTATACATCAACATAATGGTACAGTATGTACCTGTATGAATAGTAACATTATCCTTGATACTGAAAACATCCTGAGTCATTGTAGAGTCATGGCTTAAATGGACGCAGGATTGAATTTCAAATCTTTAAGTATACAGTATTTCACTATCCCATTGCTATTACATTTTGTATAATAATCTATTGCACAGTTACTATACCTCTTTAGCTGTCACCAGCTGGTTAGAAACTAATTCGTCTGGACTGGAATCTTCTTCAAAGATGCCTAAATGTGTATCTTATCTGGTTTCTCTTGACATTCTTGGCTTAATAGTATAGTGTAAAGATACTTTGTGGTAAATTTGTTTATCAGTAGAATTTAAAAATTCAAGTAGTAGATTACATTACAAAAAATAAACTTAAGTATTAGCCTTATTAAATACTCCAATCTTTGTTTCAGTATCGTACCATCCCCATCCCTGGACTGAGGAGTTACTTTGCCTGTGCTAGTTTTGTCTTGCTCTGTATATTTGTGATACAGATGTTGGTCATGCCAAAGTAAGTTGGTGGTGTTTTGCACTTCTTTACGTTTTGAATGGATTCTCTGGATAAAACACTGCTTACATGTGAACAGTGCCTTCAGCTCTTCCAGCTCATCCTGAAGGGCTGTAGCTAAGGCTCTGTCTACAGTTAAATCATGATAGTAGTGTTTCAATGTAGACATGCAGACTTCTGCGACAGGAGGGATTCTGCCATTAGTATCGTTCTTCTGCCTCTGGCCAGGTCAATGAAATAATTCTTCCATACACCTAGAGTCATCTACCTGGTTGATGTCACAGGTTTACCTATAAAAGCGACAAGGAGTCCTTATAGACTAACAGATGTCACTCAGGGTGTGGATTTCTCATAGCTTTGAATGATGTGGATGGGTTGGCCTAACTTTTTAATGTAGAGCTGGCCTAATAAGTTACATACATATTCATTCTTAATGGTGACATGCTCTTTGTTAGTATGTTGCAATCATAGTTAGTTTTGTGCTTGAACCATGACAGTTGCGTTAATCTAAGTGGATGGTGCTTCCTTAGTTGTGTGTGTAACTCTGCTCAGTACACACAGGGAGAAGACCTGTTAAACAAGGAAGGGGATTTTTCTGACCATCACCTTACTGATTGAGGATGAGCATAGGAGAGTAGGAGTAGGCAGTTTGGGAAGGTTTGAAGCCTGAATTTGATGTGGAAGGACCGAGAAAATCAATGAGGGGTTTGAACTTGGAGTGACTAGCTCAACAAAACAGTGTAATCTTAGGGGACTACTATAAATTCATATTGGGAACCTGCTAGACATTCATTTTGTTGTATTCATTAGAGAAACTTAATTGTAGCAGTGGCATCTTGCGTAGACTGGTGGTAAGATTTGTGGAGCCTAGTGAAGAGGCAGTTGAACAGTTGAAAATAGAGATGGCCCACATTTTGACAAAGATTTAAGCAATCAGGATGGAAACAACTTACGAAATGCTTGGAGGAGGAAGGTCAGATTTGGTGAGAGTGTGAATGAGAGGGACGAAGGTGAAACACCTGTAATTGGCTGTGGAGCACTTAGGAAAGAAACTCTTACCACACACATCTCTTGTAATGATTAATGTCAGGATTGTGAATTGGTTAGTAATATTAGCTCTAGTATTGCTATCTGATCTAGGGACATTAAGATGCAGGTATTTCACTAATTGTGTAGTCGATAGAATTTTTATCGACTACATGATTAATCGATAAGGGAAGGCGTTCAGTCCCAGTTTGTGCTGGGTCCAGGAGATAGCCCTGCTGTGGCTCTGCAGCTTAAATGTAGTAAGAGCCAGGTGGGCAGGCAGCTTGGCTTCTACTACATTTAAACTGCAGAGCTGCAGTCGGGGTACATCCTGGACCCAGCACAAGCTGGGACTGAGCCAGGCTCCAGCAGCCCTGCCCCCCCCCCCCCAAAGCTTTGCGGCAGGCTCCCCTGTCCCCCAGAGGCAGCAGTGCGTGGGGGCAGGGACACAATGTGAAGAATGTGTTGGGGGGACCAGCTTTTAGGCTGGCTTCCCCCAGCACTGGCTCCTGCTTCCCCCTCTCCCCCCCCCTTGATGCCACTGATACAAAGGCAGCAAGTTGGGGGAAATGTGAGTAGTCAACTCTACTGCTCACTTACATCCCTAATCTGATCGTGGCTGCCATTATTAATATAGTTGCTTGATAGGACTCTGAGGCCAGGGAAGGTTTGTTACAGCTCTAGAGACAGCTGACTTTCCTCCGTATTTTAAATTTTCTGCCATACTGTTGTTCTCTGCTGTTATACTAATGATGGCTCTGTGATTTATAAATGGGGTAATAACACATGATTTGAATGAATGTGTGGAAAACCTGAAAGTGAATGTTTGCCAAGATAAGGCAATAAACATTCATGGAAGGCCCTTTGTCATGATCATCTAATGCCAAAAGAACAGCAATGATACTGATTTTAGTTAAGGAAAACTGCATTATTGACTGTAACTTGGTCAATTGTAATTAGACTATGACAATTTGCATAACACTTCTGTTTAACTTTGTTTTCCTTTCTCTGTTTTAGAAAAGAAAAAATAGCATGTTCATTTGGAATTGTAGCCATCTTAATTCTGCTTATTTTGTGTGTGTGTTTTGCTAATAAATGCCTGGTAAGTAGAAATAGGCCAGCATTTTCAAAAAGTGGTTAAAGTTTGGCATCAGAATATAAATGATCTGATTTTCAGAGGTTCTGAGCCTTGATAGGAGTTGTAGATGTTCAGCACTTCTCACAAGTCAGGACATTCATTTTTAGGTGCCTCAAATACACATTTAGGGACTTAATGTCCGGCCCCCACATTTGAAAATTTTTATCGTAATTCCTCCGTGCTGTTTTACAGTTGTAAACACAGTTTGAACTGGATTTTTTAAAAGTTCTTTCTGTTCTTGCAGTCACGTTTTCTGGAAGATGTACACTATATGGTAGGAATCCTGATTATGGATCCTGTAATTTTAAGTGTCATTAAAGTGAAATGGATTTTTTGAGTGCATAATCATTTTAGGACTTGATTGACTACAAGAATTCATAAGCTTGTTATGGTGGCATTTCCATAGCTAGATAAAAGGTAATGTTCTTAATGTTGGTCCTTAGCAAACCTAGAATCCTAGAAAGTAAAATTACTAGTATTTGAATTGACAGTGCTGTGATCAATGGGTATGTTACCAAATGTATGCAAACAATGTTTTTAATAAAATTAAAAAAGGCTGCACAAAAAACAGGGTGCAGTCCTACGATGTACAAGAGATAACTTCCTTCAGTCCAGCCTCCCCATCGTCCGCGATGGTTCTCTTAGGTAGCCAGGGTCTAAGATCAAACTATTTATGGTATGTCTGTGTTGTCTAAAACCCTGGCTGGCCAGTGCCAGCTGACACAGGTTTGCCGGTCTTGTGCTACAGGGCTGTTTAATGACATCAGAGACAGTTGAGCGTGGGCTGCATTACAGGATCTAAAACCCTGAGAGGTGCTGCTCAAGCCCAAACCTCTACTTCACAATTAAGCATCTCCTTAACTCAAGCCCTGCAAGCCCCACTCAGGGCCCACCTACGGGGGGAGTGGGAAAGGGGACAACTGCTTCAGGGCCAGCGATTCAAAAGGGCCAAAGACTCTTGGCTGCTGCTGCTGTTCCTGCAGGAGCGGTGGCAGCTGGAGTGGCCCTTTCACATCACCACCGGCATGCTCCAGGCAGCTCCATGGGCTAGGGAAGGGAGTTTTGTGTTTGCTCTGGGCAGCACTGAGGACTGGCTGCTTGAGCCCCCCGCTCCCCTTCTGCCCGAGGCTATGCCTCTTGTGGAGTGCTGAGCCGCCCCTCCACCTTGCCTAAGGTTCCCCGCAAGGATGAGGGGATGAAGAGGGGTAGCTCACATGATCAGAGTAGGGCTACTGGAGGAGTGGGTACAAGGGGAAGAGAAGGGCTGGTGGAGGGGGGCAGGTCGCAGGAGGGCTGAGGACAGTGAGAAGGGCAGGAGTCAGGACAACAGAGGAAGGTGAGGAG